GAATACATCCCACTTGGTAGTGGTAGATATGGACAGAATACATCCCACTTGGTAGTGATAGATGTGGACAGAATACATCCCACTTGGTAGTGGTAGATATGGACAGAATACATCCCACTTGGTAGTGGTAGATGTGGACAGAATACATCCCACTTGGTAGTGGTAGATATGGACAGAATACATCCCACTTGGTAGTGGTAGATGTGGACAGAATACATCCCACTTGGTAGTGGTAGATATGGACAGAATACATCCCACTTGGTAGTGATAGATGTGGACAGAATACATCCCACTTGGTAGTGGTAGATATGGACAGAATACATCCCACTTGGTAGTGATAGATGTGGACAGAATACATCCCACTTGGTAGTGGTAGATATGGACAGAATACATCCCACTTGGTAGTGGTAGATGTGGACAGAATACATCCCACTTGGTAGTGGTAGATATGGACAGAATACATCCCACTTGGTAGTGATAGATGTGGACAGAATACATCCCACTTGGTAGTGGTAGATATGGACAGAATACATCCCACTTGGTAGTGATAGATGTGGACAGAATACATCCCACTTGGTAGTGGTAGATATGGACAGAATACATCCCACTTGGTAGTGGTAGATGTGGACAGAATACATCCCACTTGGTAGTGGTAGATGTGGACAGAATACATCCCACTTGGTAGTGGTAGATATGGACAGAATACATCCCACTTGGTAGTGATAGATGTGGACAGAATACATCCCACTTGGTAGTGGTAGATATGGACAGAATACATCCCACTTGGTAGTGGTAGATGTGGACAGAATACATCCCACTTGGTAGTGGTAGATATGGACAGAATACATCCCACTTGGTAGTGGTAGATGTGGACAGAATACATCCCACTTGGTAGTGGTAGATATGGACAGAATACATCCCACTTGGTAGTGGTAGATATGGACAGAATACATCCCACTTGGTAGTGGTAGATATGAACAGAATACATCCCACTTGGTGGTGGTAGATATGAACAGAATACATCCAACTTGGTAGTGGTAGATATTGACAGAATACATCCAACTTGGTAGTGGTAGATATGGACAGAATACATCCCACATGGTAGTGGTAGATATGGACAGAATACATCCCACTTGGTAGTGGTAGATATGGACAGAATACATCCCACTTGGTAGTGGTAGATATGGACAGAATACATCCCACTTGGTAGTGGTAGATATGGACAGAATACATGCCACTTGGTAGTGGTAGATATGGACAGAATACATCCCACTTGGTAGTGGTAGATATGGACAGAATACATCCCACTTGGTAGTGGTAGATATGGGCAGAATACATCCCACTTGGTAGTGGTAGATATGAACAGAATACATGCCACTTGGTAGTGGTAGATATGGACAGAATACATCCCACTTGGTAGTGGTAGATATGGGCAGAATACATCCCACTTGGTAGTGGTAGATATGGACAGAATACATCCTACTTTGTAGTGGTAGATATGGACAGAATACATCCCACTTGGTAGTGGTAGATATGGACAGAATACATGCCACTTGGTAGTGGTAGATATGGGCAGAATACATCCCACTTGGTAGTGGTAGATATTGACAGAATACATCCCTCTTGGTAGAGGTAGACATATTATGGGTGTACAAGTGTCATCAATAAAACATTTAGTGGCTCATTAGTTTGCGTATGTTGTAGAGAATACTCAGCTTGGTTAATGGTTATAAAATTACTATCGTGACATTGCCATTGTAAACACACCTCACTTTAACATCACGAAATCTTGACAACAGTGCTGACTGATAATGACATCTAATCATAGGGTCAGAATGGATCATCATTTGTGACTGGAAGGGCAACGTCATTCACACAAGTTGTGATTTTCTTTACCTGAAATCACAAAGGACCAACATGGCGGCCATGCCACTGTGGTCTTTTTTTTAAAATAGTTCTGTTAAAATGGGGATTTGTGGGTAATTGTATTGGAAATTCATGCATTTCTAATTTATTGAACTTATCCTATCTCACACGTTGCATTTCTTCCTTCTGCTTTCGAACCTGATGTGGAAATGTCCTAGAACAAAGTTTCCACCCTAAAAAACTATTCACCCGAACGCAACCCACACATCACTATAGTCATCTCCTAAACAATGGGCCACTCACCACTGCAATCTCGCACGATACAACCCCGTATATAAACATACAGTTTATTAAAAAAAATAAAAAATTGTCTTCAGTTGTCTGTGAAGATTCATCTTTGGTATATGTGTTTTCCAGATTCCCCTCATGTTGTTAGTTGTTCAACTTCATGTTTAATGAAACGCCTAAATGCATAAAATGTGTTAGAGCAGTTAATTATGTCTCCCCCAGAATGGAGGGAGACATATTGTTTTTGGCACGGTTCCCGTCGCCGTCGGCGTCGGCGTTCCCACCGTTTCCGGACCATAACTCAGAAACCGTTTAATATTTTTTCGCGAAACTTTGTATACACATTAACCCAGCACTGAAGTGGTGCCTTTTGCTATTTAGAGATTTTTGACATTTTTATTTTTTCTCGTTTCCATGGAGATAACTTGAACATAGGCTCTGAATGGGGGTAAGCTTTGTTTCCTGACCATAACTCAGAAACCGTTTAATATTTTTTCGCGAAACTTTGTATACACATTAACCCAACACTGAAGTGGTGCCTTTTGCTATTTAGAGATTTTTGACATTTTTATTTTTTCTCGTTTCCATGGAGATAACTTGAACATAGACTCTGAATGGGGGTAAGCTTGGTTTCCGGACCATAACTCAGAAACCGTTTAATATTTTTTCGCGAAACTTTGTATACACATTAACCCAGCACTGAAGTGGTGCCTTTTGCTATTTAGAGATTTTTGACATTTTTATTTTTTCTCGTTTCCATGGAGATAACTTGAACATAGACTCTGAATGGGGGTAAGCTTGGTTTCCGGACCATAACTCAGAAACCGTTTAATATTTTTTTTTCGGGAAACTTTGTATACACATTAACCCAGCACTGAAGTGGTGCCTTTTGCTATTACAGTTTCCATGACATCACATATGTCATTGTGTAGAAGACCTGCAGAGTCAGATACACGGGCAATTACATCACAGAGACTTTCCTTTGTGCCATATAACATTGCTACATCATTTCTGATATGTTGGGGATATTAATATATTTGTGTCCAAACTCTATTAGTACTTTAAGTGGATTTTCTACAAATACTTCAGTAACAAGAAAACTGTGCTACTTAGATGACTACACTGTCAGATGGGTGAATGATTGAGGGATTAGTGGTGTTGATTAGATGCTGTAGTGGTGCCCATTAGTTGTTTGAAATTTCTAGGAGTTCTATTTTTGTCTCTGTTATTTAGTAATGGAGGGTGGGAATGAAGAGATGGGGTTTAATGTGAAGTAAACGAATGAATGGGGGTTAGGGGAGTGGGGGGAGACATGTTTTTACGAGTAAAAACACTTTCTAGTTATGTAAGGGGGATCCTGAATGGCCTTCCACGCTTATTCCACGGGGTTCCAATGGAGATGTTGTGAATTCAGTAAGGTAGGTAATGGCATGTGAGGCAAAATAATGTTAAAAGTGGAACTAGTGAACGAATATTGCATTGAATCGAATATCATTTATTTAGCATTTTACTTTTCCTCCTAAATTTGTCTGCGTTGATGTAACATTTGCTGCTATTTTTACGACAGCATCTTTTTAGTGTATTGTATGTTAGGGCAAGAATCTTCTGTAACTGCTATTTTTACGACAGCATCCTTTTGGTGTATTGTATGTTAGGGCAAGGATCTTCTCTTACAGATTTTGAAACAATTTGTTTGAATATCTGGATTATTTATTTGGTGAAATTATTTTATTATAAATATGATTTGACAAACAAAGAGTTTGCCACCGTGTTGATGCATCGCCTCAAAAGTTTTCTTGTGTTTGCTTTTAATGATTCTGTTACAAGGATGTTACTGTTGGACCAGAGAGGATGCATTAAGAATCGGTTAGCACGGCAAAAATGATAAGGTTTGAGTACATACTGTTAAGAAAATCAGAAGACAATGGCATGTCAACGTGAACATGTACACCGTTATGAATACATGCTTTAAGACGGTAGATATGTACATGATATTTACTTGAATCTTATACAATATACATGCTTTAAGACGGTAGATATGTACATGATATTTACTTGAATCTTATACAATATACATGCTTTAAGACGGTAGATATGTACATGATATTTACTTGAATCTTATACAATATACATGCTTTAAGACGGTAGATATGTACATGATATTTACTTGAATCTTATACAATATACATGTACATGCTTTAAGACGGTAGATATGTACATGATATTTACTTGAATCTTATACAATATACATGCTTTAAGACGGTAGATATGTACATGATATTTACTTGAATCTTATACAATATACATGCTTTAAGACGGTAGAAATATATGTGATATTTACTTGAATCTAATACAATATACATGCTTCAAGACGGTAGATATATATGTGATATTTACTTGAATCTTATACAATATACATGCTTTAAGACGGTAGATATATATGTGATATTTACTTGAATCTTATACAATATACATGCTTTAAGACGGTAGAAATATATGTGATATTTACTTGAATCTTATACAATATACATGCTTTAAGACGGTAGATATATATGTGATATTTACATGAATCCTATACAATATGCATGCATTCGGTCACAATGCGATATGTTGGCGTTAGTTCCTGTACAGAAAGTAAATGCTTGGTTGCCTGGTGTGATGAATACTCCTGTTGACACCAATCTATGCTGGGAGCCAGGAGTGGGCAAAAAATGCCATTAATCAGTATTCACCAGGAGAACAAATTATCCAACTCGCGCTTGAAGACCGAAGTGAGCGTGTGTTGCTTGGACCAGCAAAATCAATATTGGGAATTGTAGAGATGCACTTGTGAGCGGCACCAGAGGAGTTTGATGTTCTCCTGGCCGCTTGTGTTGTGCCGCTATTATTGTAGTGCTGGTATTGCGGCGCTTGTATTGATAAAGCACAGATTCAGGTCAGGAGAGCAGATCAGTGTCCGGTATTGTGCCTCCATTGGATAACAGCAGAGGTGAATACACCTGATTGGTCATCATTGAAGATTAATTCTTGATGGTATAAAAAGGTGAGGCTATTTGATTTCAGCAGGAAATAATTATGTCCTAAGTGAGATATCGGTGGGCCTTCATGGAACTAGGGCAGGTCAATGGTGCAGCACTTGTTGAAAGTGTCGATTTCATGGACTTCTCCTTTGGTGGAGAGAACTGTCCTAGGAATTGAGTTTAAATAGAATGACTGGTCCTATCTGTTAATTCATCATTATTTTTCCCCAAACATGAAAGAAGTGTTTTAATTCAAAGGTGTCGGATCAATTCCTGCTCCGAGAATCTGATGTGCATGCAGGTGATTCAGGCCTGGGATTCCAGGAATAATGAAACATTGATACATATTTTCCTGTCTTGATGGTTTTGAAAGACACATTGTTCCATTCAGAGTAGCTGGATGGAGAAACACAGCCTATGGGATGTCGTGGAATGCAGTGTGTATTCTTATAGTTTTGTTTTCTGTTAGCAAGAACTTTTTGGAAGATATTCCATGGATTGGATTCCTTTAATATTTGTTCTGTTATTTCTTGGAAAACTTCAAATAATGTTTGGATGCAGTGAGATTTCATTTTTGTGTTAGTTTTGTGCATCATTCTGTTCTGCCACTTCCTTGACACAATCACTTTACACAACCACTTCCTCAACCACTTCCTCAACCACTCAACCACTTCCTCAACAACTCAACCACGTCCTTAACCACACAACCACTTCCTTAACCACTTCCTCAACCACTCAACCACTTCCTTAACCACTCAACCACTTCCTTAACAACTCAACAACTTCCTTGACACAATCACTTTACACAACCACTTCCTTTACCACTCAACCACTTCCTTAACCACTCCACCACTTCCTTAACTACTCAACCACTTCCTTAACTACTCAACCACTTCCTTATCCACTCAACCACTTCCATAACCACTTCCTTATCCACTCAACCACTTCCTCAACCACTCAACCACTTCCTCAACAACTCAACCACTTCCTTAACCACACAACCACTTCCTCAACCACTTCCTCAACCACTCAACCACTTCCTTAACCACTCAACCACTTCCTTAACCACTCAACCACTTCCTTAACAACTCAACCACTTCCTTGACACAATCACTTTACACAACCACTTCCTCAACCACTTCCTTTACCACTCAACCACTTCCTTAACCACTCAACCACTTCCTTAACTACTCAACCACTTCCTTAACTACTCAACCACTTCCTTATCCACTCAACCACTTCCATAACCACTTCCTTATCCACTCAACCACTTCCTCAACCACTCAACCACTTCCTCAACAACTCAACCACGTCCTTAACCACACAACCACTTCCTCAACCACTTCCTCAACCACTCAACCACTTCCTTAACCACTCAACCACTTCCTTAACAACTCAACCACTTCCTTGACACAATCACTTTACACAACCACTTCCTCAACCACTTCCTTTACCACTGAACCACTTCCTTAACCACTCAACCACTTCCTTAACCACTCAACCACTTCCTTAACTACTCAACCACTTCCTTAACAACTCAACCACTTCCATAACCACTTCCTCAACAACTCAACCACTTCCATAACCACTTCCTCAACAACTCAACCACTTCCTTATCCACTCAACCACTTCCATAACCACTTCCTCAACAACTCAACCACTTCCATAACCACTTCCTCAACAACTCAACCACTTCCTTATCCACTCAACCACTTCCATAACCACTTCCTTATCCACTCAACCACTTCCTTAACCACTCAACCACTTCCTCAACCACTCAACCACTTCCTTAACCACTCAACCATTTCCTTAACCACTCAACCACTTCCTTAACCACTCAACCACTTCCTCAACCACTCAACCATTTCCTTAACCACTCAACCACTTCCTTAACCACTCAACCACTTCCTTAACCACTCAACCATTTCCTTAACCACTCAACCACTTCCTTAACCACTCAACCACTTCCTCAACCACTCAACCATTTCCTTAACCACTCAACAACTTCCTTAACCACTCAACCACTTCCTTAACCACTCAACCACTTCCTTAACCACTCAACCACTTCCTCAACCACTCAACCACTTCCTTTTCGACTCAACCACTCAAACACCTGGGGACCAAAAGTGTTGGCCATATCATCAACACCAGGAGACCAACTCCACCGTGTGGTCGGATCTGTCCCCTGACGTGAAGTGTTGGCCATGTCATCAACACCAGGAGACCAACTCCCCCGTGTGGTCGGATCTGTCCCCTGACGTGAAGTGTTGGCCATGTCATCAACACCAGGAGACCAACTCAGCCGTGTGGTCGGACCTGTCCCCTGACGTGAAGTGTTGGCCATATCATCAACACCAGGAGACCAACTCCCCCGTGTGGTCGGATCTGTCCCCTCACGTGAAGTGTTGGCCATGTCATCAACACCAGGAGACCAACTCAGCCGTGTGGTTGGATCTGACTAGTGCTAGTGTGTGTGTGCGTGTGTGCGTGTGCGTGTGCGTGTGTGTGTGTGTGTGTGTGTTTGTCTGTGTGTGTGTTTGTGTATGTGTTTCTGTGTGTGTGTGCATGGGTGCGGGGGCATGGATGTGTGTGTGTGTGTGTGTGTGTGTGTGTGTGTGTGTGTGTGTGCGTGTGCGTGCATGGGTGGGGGGCATGTGTGTGTGTGTGTGTGTGTGTGTGTGTGTGTGCATGGGTGTGGGGCATGGGTGTGGGGGCATGGATGTGTGTGTGTTTGTGCTTGTGTGGGTGGGTAGGTTGGGGAAGAGGGGGGAGGGTGAATGGGTGTTTGTTTGTGTGTGTGTGTGTGCGTTTTAATCCCCCTGAGAAATCCCCAATGATTATTACTTCAGTCATGGTCATTTATTTGTTGCTTTTTGAATTGCCTGTTTTATTTTATTCTTTCTCTGTCTCTCTCTAACATATGGTAGTCCATGATATAATAATGGATGTTTTCAGACAAGACTAGTAGAGTGCATGTAAATGCAAGCCTCTTATATCCCTCTCCTGATCAACGAAGAAAATATTTTCACAACTATGTACACACGAGTATTAACTGAACCAACCATCACTAGACAATACATTTAATACATAACATTCCTTTGCAAAGACAACACATAAAAGGTTAGCCCTATGCTATTTGGATGACATAGAGATCGCCTCCGTGGTCTAGTGCCAGAGCGTCCACCTGGAGAGCGAAAGGTGCAGGGTTCGATCCCTGGCCGCGTCATACCAAAAAACGTTAAAAGATGGTTCTTGTTATTGCCCTTTCTGGTGCTCAGCTCAGATCGGCTTGGAGTCAGTATACTGTGTCTGAGTGGGGTATTCATGTTAAACTGTGACATGGTATCTCAGTTAGCTAGCACTATGAAACGGCATCAGTACGGACTAGTACAAGCAGCCACACACACACACACACACATACGTGCATGCACATTGCTGTATAAGTGCAATAATCTTGGACGCAACGTCAAACGACATTTCACCTCACCACACAGTAGTATAAAACAAATTCAATGACAGAGAAAGACCATGTGCAGAATGCAGACAACTAAAGTCATGACATGTAAGATTGAACACCCTTTCATCACTAGCTGCAGTGGGAAGAGGGAAAACAGTTTGTTACTCTACTAAACATGATATGTGAGATTGCAGGTTCCATTCACATCATCAACATTTTCTTGTGAAAAAATCTGTTAATTTTAACCAGTCAAAAATCAACATAAAATACATATTTCATATGTTTTTACAACTCATTTCACCTCACAAATTGGCATAGCGACAACACATTTATCAATGTTTTGACAATGGCAAGCATCAAATTACACCTGGCACCTGTTACACAAGAAAACGTAAGGATTATATAAATATCTGTTATATATAGAAATGCGAGGACAGTGTTTAATAATATGTTTTATTGTTTTATTATCCTACATCAAGTTGAGTAGTTGTATTAAACGGTATATGCAGGGAAGTACAAATGGGTGGGACTGTGGTGAGGAAGTGTCAGGTTGGGATGTATTAATGTCCTCAAAATGTTTTTTCCTCCCTTATTAAGAGCACACAGCCAGGGTTTTTACAAAACATTAGGCTATCCTAACGTAAAACCACCCTACACAGTTATCTGTTCATTCTCATCGGGAGGTCCGTCCACTTGAGCAGATTCAGGAAGCAAGACCCAAATGACTCCCCTCCGTAGGCAGTTGTCAAGTTCAGTAATTGTGTTCAGTGATACACTTTGTCACACATATGCTCGATTTTTTGTGTTTACTGTCAGCATTTACTTTCTAAACCTTTAAGCACACACACCCCAGGTTCGTTATTTAGCAACGAAGTTAACTTTTTTCTTCTTCTTTTTTTAAGATACTTGTTATACATGTAATACTTTATAAATGATTGGATCCTATATTTATTATGTACATATCCTCTAAAGTTTGGCCATCATTAAAAGAACTAAAGAACTAAATGTATGAACAGTATTGTTTTTTTAAAGTATTCTGAAAGATATTCAGGTAATTTATGCTTAGCTATGAGGACACTGTGAGTCGGGTCTGTGTGATGCACATAAAATAGGTTCCCTGAGCTTTTGGCCTGTGCATCGTTCTCTTTGGTGACTGGGGTTGTGAAATACAGCAAACTACGTTTATAACGAACACGCTTCTTACGAACTGACGGATATAACGATCTTATTTTTTTGTCCCGACCATTTGCTGTAAATATTCTGCATATATGCTTATAACAAACTACGTGAATAATGAACTAAAATTAGTGATCCCTTTGAGTTAATAACCATAGTTTACTGTATTTGTTTATCAGCATCATTTGACCAGGTTGATGGGCCTGTTATGGGCAATCACTGACCTGATCAAAAACATTTTCACCAAATTCTGAATAAATTGCGAATACATGTGAACTCATTCATATACTAATCACCTTGTCAGTAATGTCACAGTGGCAGAAGAATGCATTCGTCAGCCTTCAGTGTGGACTTTGCAGGTTAGAATCCTGCTGGGGACACTTGTATGTTTGTGAAGTTGTTCAATAATGAAGGTAAATAAAAGGGGAAGAAAGAAGTTCTATCGTTGCCAAGAGGTGTTTAACTATCAATTCAGTTAGCGAGTGCCTGGTCAAGGACATGTTTTAAATTGATTTAGACAGGTTGAGACAAGCTTTTAATATCATCACTTTGATATGATGCAGCCATGGCCCACATCCATGGGCCAGATCCACACACCAAGCACACTATCTAACACACCAAGCACACTATCTAGCACACCAAGCAGACTATCTCACACACCAAGCACACTATCTCACACACCAAGCACACTATCTCACACATCAAGCACACTGTCTCTCACACCAAGCACACTACCTAACACTCCAAGCACACTGTCTCACACAGCAAGCAGACTATCTCACACACCAAGCACACTATCTAACACACCAAGCACACTATCTCACACACGAAGCACACTATCTCACACATCAAGCACACTATCTCACACACTAAGCACACTGTCTCACACACCAAGCACACTATCTCACACACCAAACACACTGTCTCACACATCAAGCACACTATCTAACACACCAAGCACACTGTCTCACACACCAAGCACATCATCTCACACACCAAGCACACTACATAACACACCAAGCACACTGTCACACACCAAGCACACTGTCTCTCACAACAAGCACACTATCTCACACATCAAGCACACTATCTCACACACCAAGCACACTATTTCACACACCAAGCACACGGTCTCTCACACCAAGCACACTTTCTCACACATCAAGCATACTATCTCACACACCAAACACACTATCTCACACATCAAGCACACTATTTCACACACCAAGCACACTATCTCACACACCAAGCACACTGTCTCTCACACCAAGCACACTGTCTCACACATCAAGCACACTATCTCACACACCAAGCACACTATTTCACACATCAAGCACACTATCTCACACATCAAGCACACTATCTCACACACCAAGCACACTATCTCACACACCAAGCACACTATCTCACACACCAAGCACACTTACACACCAAGCACACTGTCTCACACATCAAGCACACTATTTCACACACCAAGCACACTATTTCACACATCAAGCACACTATCTCACACACCAAGCACACTATCTCACACACCAAGCACACTGTCTCACACATCAAGCACACTAACACACCAAGCACACTGTCTCACACATCAAGCACACTATTTCACACATCAAGCACACTATCTCACACATCAAGCACACTATCTCACACACCAAGCACACTATCTCACACACCAAGCACACTATTTCACACACCAAGCACACTATCTCACACACCAAGCACACTATCTCACACACCAAGCACACTATTTCACACACCAAGCACACTATCTCACACATCAAGCACACTATCTCACACACCAAGCACACTACATAACACACCAAGCACACTGTCACACACCAAGCACACTATTTCACACACCAAGCACACTATCTAACACACTAAGCACACTATCTCACACACCAAGCACACTATCTCACACATCAAGCACACTATTTCACACACTAAGCACACTATCTCACACACCAAGCACACTGTCTCACACAACAAGCACACTATCTAACACACCAAGCACACTGTCACACACATCAAGCACACTATTTCACACACCAAGCACACTATTTCACACACCAAGCACACTATTTCACACACCAAGCACACTGTCTCACACACCAAGCACATCTCACACACCAAGCACACTACATAACACATCAAGCACACTGTCACACACCAAGCACACTATCTCACACACCAAGCACACTGTCTCACACACCAAGCACACTATCTCACACACCAAGCACACTATCTAACACACCAAGCACACTATCTAACACACCAAGCACACTGTCTAACACACCAAGCACACTGTCTCACACACCAAGCACACTATCTCACACACCAAGCACACTATCTAACACACCAAGCACACTGTCTAACACACCAAGCACACTGTCTAACACACCAAGCACTCTATCTCACACATCAAGCACACTATCTCACACACCAAGCACACTATCTCACACACCAAGCACACTATTTCACACACCAAGCACACTATCTCACACACCAAGCACACTATCTCACACATCAAGCACACTATCTCACACACCAAGCACACTACATAACACACCAAGCACACTGTCACACACCAAGCACACTATCTCACACACCAAGCACACTATCTAACACACTAAGCACACTATCTCACACACCAAGCACACTATCTCACACATCAAGCACACTATCTCACACAATAAGCACACTGTCTCACACACCAAGCACACTATCTCACACACCAAGCACACTGTCTCACACAACAAGCACACATTCTAACACACCAAGCACACTGTCACACACATCAAGCACACTATTTCACACACCAAGCACACTATTTCACACACCAAGCACACTATTTCACACACCAAGCACACTGTCTCACACACCAAGCACACTATCTCACACACCAAGCACACTATCTAACACACCAAGCACACTATCTAACACACCAAGCACACTGTCTAACACACCAAGCACACTGTCTCACACACCAAGCACACTATCTCACACACCAAGCACACTATCTAACACACCAAGCACACTGTCTAACACACCAAGCACACTGTCTAACACACCAAGCACTCTATCTCACACATCAAGCACACTATCTCACACACCAAGCACACTATCTCACACACCAAGCACACTATTTCACACACCAAGCACACTATCTCACACACCAAGCACACTATCTCACACATCAAGCACACTATCTCACACACCAAGCACACTACATAACACACTAAGCACACTGTCACACACCAAGCACACTATCTCACACACCAAGCACACTATCTAACACACTAAGCACACTATCTCACACACCAAGCACACTATCTCACACAATAAGCACACTGTCTCACACACCAAGCACACTATCTCACACACCAAGCACACTGTCTCACACAACAAGCACACATTCTAACACACCAAGCACACTGTCACACACATCAAGCACACTATTTCACACACCAAGCACACTATTTCACACACCAAGCACACTATTTCACACACCAAGCACACTGTCTCACACACCAAGCACATCTCACACACCAAGCACACTACATAACACATCAAGCACACTGTCACACACCAAGCACACTATCTCACACACCAAGCACACTATCTAACACACCAAGCACACTATCTAACACACCAAGCACACTGTCTAACACACCAAGCACACTGTCTCACACACCAAGCACACTATCTTACACACCAAGCACACTATCTAACACACCAAGCACACTGTCTAACACACCAAGCACACTGTCTAACACACCAAGCACACTGTCTAACACACCAAGCACACTGTCTCACACACCAAGCACACTGTCTCACACACCAAGCACACTATCCATATCTTGTACCACTACACCATGACCATCACCCCATTGCATAAAACCAAACTGGTCACAACTTTGCATTGACACTCAATCTGGCAGAGATGCTAAATGCCACAATGACCAGCAATTATGTCCATTGTGTGATAAACAACCCACCCTCCATTCAAGGCTGTTGTTCTTTTTCAGGTTGTGTGTACTGTTAGTGTGATGCCCCCGCGCGTGGACGCTGCCGATGTTGTCCACACACTGCGGAGTTGATGTGTAGAGTGGAGACGTAACTCCCAGGGATGGGGCAACACGCACGATACACTGCGTCAGCGTGAGTAATATGTGATATGTAGAATCAAGATTTCTAAAGACAGAACTGTTAGTCGTGATGTTCGTAGTCGGAGATTTGTAGAACGGCAATAAACATTTCTGTGCTTGTCAAACACCCCTAACCATCTGAGATGACTGAATACCTGCCTTTATGGTGGACACCCTCTATTTTGTGTTTTAAAGTATTTTCTTGGTTTGGGCTTAAGGAGGACATTATGTCATTGTACTGAGTTAACATCACTTGATCCTGACAAATGATTTCTTTTCAGCATTTGTGTATCTGCAGTTTCAGAATATGTTGGCACGCGTAATGTTGATTTTTTGTGTAAGACTCATTGTTTTGTAATCATTGTTATTTCATGTTTGTTTTTTCTAAATTTGATTCGATTGCCTCAATCTTCCTTTGCCTGTAAACAACTAAAGTTTGTTGGATTCATTAGTGAATTCATCATCTGTAAGCCCCAAAAGAGTCCTCCCTGAATCCAGCCAGGACCTGTGTCCCCCACCCCCCACAATGGCTCACTGTAGCCTTAGACAGGACCTGTATCCCCCACCCTCAAACAGGGTTCACTAAACATCCAGGCAGGACCTGTGTCCCCCACCCCCCACAATGGCTCACTGTAGCCTTAGACAGAACCTGTGTCCCCCACCCCCCACAATGACTCACTGTAGCCTTAGACAGGACCTGTGTCCCCCACCCTCAAACAGGGTTCACTAAACACCCAGGCAGGGCCTGTGTCCCCCACCCCCCACAATGGCTCACTGTACCCCCAGATAGGACCTGTGTCCCCCACCCCCCACAAGGGCTCACTGTACCCCCAGACAGGACCTGTGTCCCCTACCCCCCACAATGACTCACTGTAGCCTTAGACAGGACCTGTGTCCCCCACCCTTAAACAGGGTTCACTAAACACCCAGGCAGGGCCTGTGTCCCCCACCCCCCACAATGACTCACTGTAGCCTTAGACAGGACCTGTGTCCCCCACCCCCCACAAGGGCTCACTGTACCCCCAGCCAGAACATGTGTCCCCCACCCCCCACAAGGGCTCACTGTAGCCTTAGACAGGACCTGTGTCCCCCACCCTCAAACAGGGTTCACTAAACACCCAGGCAGGACCTGTGTCCCCCACCCCCCACAAGGGCTCACTGTACCCCCAGACAGGACCTGTGTCCCCCACCCCCCACAAGGGCTCACTGTACCCCCAGACAGGACCTGTGTCCCCCACCCCCCACAAGGGCTCACTGTACCCTGTATATCCCACAACCCCATTTCAAGTGAGGTTTAACTTTTGAATTGTATTGGACCTGCTTGGAAGTTTTAAATTGGAAAGGTAAGACCTAAGTTTTACAGTTGAGTTGTATAAACGTATAAAATATGTATCTTATGTTGATTTTTGACTGGTTAAAATTAACAGATATTTCCACAAGAAAATATTGATAATGTGAATGGAACCTTCAATCTCACATATCATGTTTAGTAGGGTTACCAACTGTTTTTCCTCCTCCCACCGGGGCTAGTGATGAAAGGGTGTTCAATCTTACATGTCATGACTTCATTTGTCTGCATGCTGCACATGGTCTTTCTCTTGCCCGCTGTCATTGAATTTGTTTTATACTACTGTGTGTTCAGGTGAAATGTCGTTTAATGTTGCGTCCAAGATTATTGCATTTATATGGCGATGTGCATGATCACGTGTGTGTGGCTGCTTGTACTAGTCCGGACTGACTGATGCCGATTTATAGTGCTAGCACACGGAGATACCAGGCCACAGTTTAACATAAATACCCCACTCAGACACAGTATATTGACTCTGAGCCAACCAATCTTTGTTTTAGCCCCCGAGCGCAAGTACCATCTTTTAACGTCTATTACTATCACGCGGCTGGAATCAAACCCCAAACAATAAGAAGGTGTCCCCATGTTTTCTTATTCTGGTATTTCTTGCATTGAGACGGTCCATAAAGTTAGCAAAAACGCTCCTTCTTGGTGTTGGTAGATGATCCCTCCAAACCTCGGAGTTGTGTTTGAACTATAATATAGAATATACCCGGGAGTCAGGATATTCTGGAGAGAGTACCCGCTAAGAGGTTATTCTGTGAAAACAGGTCCCTGTAAAAACAATAGGATGACGTCAATAGACGTTTATAACTTGTATAAAGCTAAAATGGATAGAATTATCATTAAACCGCCTCATCAGAAATGAGCGGTCCACTGTAACTTGATAATACTTAATCATATTGTTTGACAACAGGCCCTTATCAGGCTGTTTTTAGATGACTTCATATTGATGTTCAATAGTGACGTCATCTGGTTTGTTCTATAACGTTTTCCTATTTGTATAATAGATCAGAGACATTCATTGAGTGTTGATTGCTGTAAATGTTACAAAACCGACATTGTTGTTTATTTATATTTGATAACAAATTCTATTCATTTTAGCTATAACAGTAACGCTATTTATCAGGGCATTTTCAAGCCCTTATTCTTTTCAACTGCCCTCATTCGTCAGGCAGTTAATTGGAAGCCTCGGGCTTCTGCAAATGATAATGCCCTGAAAAATAGCGTTACCGTTATTATATAGCATGTGATAATTAGTGATAATAGGGTAACTCATCATTACTTAATGTATGCCACTTGCCAGGTAATAATTGAAATCCAGCTGTATTGTTGTCGATATAACAACTGTTCCTTGCTAGTGGTGATGATTGGTAAATCACAGTTGTCAATGATAAATGATTATCACTGATTATTCTAAAGAACAAGGAATACCATGTTCCCCCGTGGTTGGTGACAAGTAGCTTCATCCTGCCTGTAAAATACGGATGGTAGCCTCTCTCACTGTATCACCAGACCTGTGAAGATTCCGGGGTAGACTAGGTCTTCAGCAACCCATGCTTGCCGTAAAGGGTGAATCTGCTTGTTGTAAAAGGCGACTAACCGGATCGGGTGGTCAGGCTCGCTGACTTGGTTGATGCATGTCATCGATCCCAATTGCGTGGATCGATGCTCATGATATTTATCACTGGATTGTCTGGTCCAGACTTGATTATTTGCAGACCGCCGTCATATAGCTGGAATATTGCTGAGTGCGGTGTTAAACAACAAACCAACCAACCAACTGTATCACCAGGCTTGTAGGTTAAACATGGGGTGGGGTGGTCGGGTAGCCTATTGGTTAAAGTGTTCGCTCGACACGCCGAAGGCCTGCGTTTGATTCCCTACATGGGTACAATGTTTGAAGCCAATTTCTTGTGTCCCCCGTCGTGATATTGCTGGAATATTGCTAAAAGCAACGTAAAATCACACTCACTCACTTGCTAAACATGGAGGTGTGAAATGTGATATGGGTCACCTGTAATATAATTGACTACACATCACTTTGATATTGCTGACAGTTGTGACACAGCTGTAATATTGAGCTCCATCACGAAACATGAATTGTTCATTTAGGTATGTACCCTGTCAAGTTCATGTGAAGTCATTGCTGGTGACCCACGTCTGTCTTGAGTTAAGATAAATCTTTCTTGTCTGACTATTTGTCCGTAGAGCCATTCAGTGCTAAAATGGATAGAAGGCTAATAGTCCAAGGAGCTTCTCGGAGATCTGTCAGGCAGAAGACCATGCTAATGGCTGTGTTTTTATGTCTGTAGTTAGATTAGAAATAGCAGCAGTGAGAGGGAGATGTGTGGCTTCAAGTCAGACTCATCAATAATTCCAACCTTGATAGAAATGCTATTTTTTCTTGTTTCGTTCAAAAGGCGTGAATCAATTGAGAATAGAAAGCAGTAGAGGAGGTAAAACTATCGGAGACCACGTCCCTGTAGAGGAGATGGTGAAACCATTGGAGACCACATCCCTGTAGAGGAGATGATGAAACCATCGGAGACCACTTCCCTGTAGAGGGGATGGTAAAACCATCAGGGACCACGTCCCTGTAGAGGAGATGGTAAAACCATCAGGGACCATGTCCCTGTAGAGGAGATGGTAAAACCATCGGAGACCACATCCCTGTAGAGGAGATGGTAAAACCATCGGAGACCACATCCCTGTAGAGGGGATGGTAAAACCATTGGAGACCATGTCCCTGTAGAGGAGATGGTAAAACCATTGGGGACCACATCCCTGTAGAGGGGATGGTAAAACCATCGGAGACCACATCCCTGTAGAGGGGATGGTAAAACTATCAGGGACCACGTCCCTGTAGAGGAGATGGTAAAACCATCAGGGACCACGTCCCTGTAGAGGAGATGGTAAAACCATCGGGGACCACATCCCTGTAGAGGAGATGGTAAAACCATTGGGGACCACATCCCTGTAGAGGAGATGGTAAAACCATTTGGGACCACATCCCTGTAGAGGAGATGGTAAAACCATCGGGGACCACATCCCTGTAGAGGAGATGGTAAAACCATCGGAGACCACATCCCTGTAGAGGAGATGGTAAAACCATTGGGGACCACATCCCTGTAGAGGAGATGGTAAAACCATTGGGGACCACATCCCTGTAGAGGAGATGGTAAAACCATCGGGGACCACATCCCTGTAGAGGAGATGGTAAAACCATCAGGGACCACATCCCTGTAGAGGAGATGGTAAAACCATTGGGGACCACATCCCTGTAGAAGAGATGGTAAAACCATCGGAGACCACATCCCTGTAGAGGAGATGGTAAAACCATCGGAGACCACATCCCTGTAGAGGAGATGGTAAAACCATTGGAGACCACGTCCCTGTAGAGGAGATGGTAAAACCATCGGAGACCACGTCCCTGTAGAGGAGATGGTAAAACCATCGGAGACCACATCCCTGTAGAGGAGATGGTAAAACCATCGGAGACCACATCCCTGTAGAGGAGATAGTTAAACCATCGGAGACCACGTCCCTGTAGAGGAGATGGTAAAAGTATCGACAACCACACCCCTGTAGAATGTGTGATTTACCTGTGCCTGTGTGGAGGAGGGGGTGGGGGATGTGGGAGTTACCTGTGCCTGTGTAGAGGA